AAATAAAGAGAAATACTGTTAACTGATGATACATGGAGGGGATTATAACCCTTGTAATGAAACAAAGTGTATAATTTGTTGAATGTAGAACTGATGATCTGCCCTGTAAACTTTCTCTCAATTCACAATAAAAACTTAGAAAGAAAATATATATCAATTAGTTAACATTTCTAGACATGACAGATATATTAGAAGTTAGCAGCGTATTCTGATGGTTTTCTACTATATAATCTATCAATGTAATATGGAAGTTAAAATTAAAATTTAAATGTTCCCATAATACAAGTAGAGGGTCATCGAAAAAGAGAAAGACCACCAACAAGATGGATTGGCACAGTGGCAGCAGCAGCAATGGGCTCAAACGTAACGACAACTGTGAGTTGGCACAGGACCGGGCAGTGTTTCATTGTGCTGTGCATAGGGTAGCTAAGAGTCGGTACCAACTCAATGGCACCTAGCCACAACAAGCTGCTTCATGGGAAAAATGTCTTGAAAATCCTACAGGATAGTTTTACTCTGTCCTATTGTATTGGGTCACTATGAGTCAGAATTGACTTGATGGCAACGAGTTTGGTTTGGGGTAATTATTTAGTGAAGAAACCAGCATTATTTGTCCCAAAGAGTTTTCCAGAGATGGTGTTTTTCTAAATGAGTTTTTCTGGTGTCATTTAATGTGTTCTTCTGTTCTTTGTATTTCTTTCAATTGCAATATCCTTTACTTCAAGCTACGGCATCATGGTGGCAAAGTGTCCACTCTATGATCAGATTTTATCTCTTTGAATAAAGCACAGATAATCTTTTTCTAAACCATCAAAATAATCAGTTCACATTTATTATTTATCAAAACATGTCTCCTACAAGCTGAGTAATATTCCATTGTATGTACATACCACATTTTACATACAAATCTATCCATCTACTGATGGGCATTTAGGCTCTTTCCACCTTTTGGCTACTGTGAATAGTGCTGTAATGAATATTGGTATGTAAGTCTCTTTTTGAGTCTCTTTCAAGTCTTTAGTTAGATATAACTACATCTAGGAGTAGAACTGTTGGGTCATATGGTAGTTCTATGGTTTTTTTTTTTGAGAAATCACATTGTTTTTCCAACAGCTGTCCTAATTTGTATCCCCACCAGCAACAGTAAATATTCCATTTCCCCCACATTCTCACCATCATTTACTTTTTTAAAATCTTAGCCATCAAAGTGGGAGTGCAATGGTATCTCATTGTGGTTTTGTTTGCACGTCTATGATGGCTAATGATACTGAGCTTCTTTTCATGTGCTCGGCAGTCCTCTAAATACCAAAATAATAAAAAGACAAGCTAGGTAGCGTAGTGGTTACGAATCAGGCTGCGAACCTTAAGGTCAGCGGTTCGAAACTACCAGCCGCTCTGCGGGAGAAAGATGAGGCTTTCTACTCCCGTAAAGATTTACACCCTTGGAAACCCTGTACAGGGTCGCTATGGGTCGGAACCGACTCGACGGCACTTAACAACAACAACATCTATTGGTAGAATATATCAGGAAGCCATATATCTGACAAGAATCTAATAACCAAGATATTTATAAAACTTTGACAACAAAAAGATCAATTACCCAGTGACAGTATAGACGGTTCACCACAGAAGACATGCAAAATTTTAGGGAACAAAGTTTAACATTTTTATGAGGTCCCTTTTATTTCTCTTTTGGTTACTAGACAATCCATTGTTGAAAGCCACAATTGAAAAGGTTGCCCTTGATTGTTCTTG